ACCTTGTGATCACCTCCCTTAATATGAATTCGGAATGACAAAATTCACACTTCAGTAGAAGTTCAGCTTACATCTTGGCTCCTTAACCTCCAGTGATTTGATAGTATCCAGACCATAATATGTTATTCTCACCTGAAACACTAGCCTTAATACAAAAAATGTTGGGAGAAAAAACAAACTTTTCTGGAAGAATGCACAGAACTTAAGGCAGGAAGGCTTGAGTTCCGTGCATTCTTCCGGCAGGAGGCTTAAGTGTACCACTGACTGACAGCAAACCATAAAGCGGGCAACAACACTATTGCAGGCATGATCACCTACTTGCCATCTCTCGTCCACTAAACAAGTAGCAGAGCTCAGCCAACCGTGAGGACCGTAGGTCTGGTGCAAATACAGTATACCCTGAAACAAAAGAGTTAGAAGGAAGGTGTTGGTGAAAGTAATCTACTCGCATCATAACCCTGCTGCTTTTCCGCTCATGAGTCATTCAATGACATGTCTTTATGACCTGCAGCTTACTTGCCGCTTGCCTTGGCTCCGAAAATTTGGTTTTGGACAGTGTGGCTCGAAGTGTATGAGTGTACTTGCAGAGCTCATTGTGTCAACCCTCCTCTCAACTTGCAGAGCTGACCACCTCTTTGAGGATGGCTAAATAGTGAGGGAAAGGAGCAGGAAAGAAAGTCACGGAAGCGGAGTTTGAGGGAGCTGTTATTCCAAACATGTTGCTCAAAAGTTGGTGCAAATCTGACTTTTCTGGCGCTGGACTTGGATAGTGCACCGATCTCAGCCATTCCTATGTGAACCAGGAAATTGGACATACTTCGGTAAGAGGATATGTGGCAAGAGAATCATAATTCGCCGCGCCAGTGCCCAGGGCGTCGCGCGCAAAAACGCGCCCGCTAATGACGACGATTTTACGTGGCATTGGTCGAGAATACTCCATGTATGACAAAAAGCATAAGTGTCTACCATGTCTTTGTCTACATGAAGTTCGATGCTCCAGGCGAAAGGGTGGTGCAAATTAAAGGCAGTTGGCACGATAAATGCCCCAAGCCGACTAGGGTCAATACTCTTGGCAGGGTGGAATTCCGCGACCCTGGGCAGGCGCTGCATAGCGGTTTCCCCGAGGAAGATGCCCTTATCAAGGGCCCTATCAAGCCACAACATTACGTCCCAGGGCCCTATCAAGCCACAACATTACGTCCCAATCGCCCGCCACGCCAGCCCGCCCACAAATGGACAACCGTTCCAGACGCTCGTATTCATTTATTGATTCATTTCTTCTTCTTCTTTTTCTTCAGCGTTTGTCCCGCACTGCAGCAGGGTCCGCTTGCCTTATTTTGTCACGCCACTTCGCCCGATTAAATGCTTGATCGAATGGGTGCCAACCACATTCAAGTCGGCGTGCTACGTGTCTGATCAGCGCTGCCTGGCGAGTCCTCTAGGCCGCTTTGTGGGAACTTCGAGCTCAAGACCAATCTTACGGACAGTGTCTTAATTCGCGCGAAGAACATGACCGTACCATCAAAGGCGAGCTTCGCGCATTTTCTCGGTCACAGGAGCAATACCGAATCTCTTCCTTATGTCGTCATTGCGTATGCGATCTAGACGCATGACACCGGCAGTCCATCGCAACATTTTCATCTCCATGACCCCTGGGGCGCTTCAACTTCTCTGGTCGTAGGCCAACATTCAGCGCCATATATCGCGACTGGTCGAACGACGGTCCTATAGATCTTCGATTTGAGGCGATCTGGTATCGTCTTGTCGCAGAGAACGCCAGTCATAGACCGCAACTTAGACCAGGCAGCACTCACACGTGCGCTCACTTCTGAGTCGAGACTACTGTCAGACGTAATTCTTAATCCGAGGTATCTGAACGCTGTAGTCCGCGTGAGCACACTGCCGCTGTCCTCAAGGGAACCAGACTTGTCCGGGTCAGTCGTCAGGTAATCGGTTTTCTTGACGTTCAGTCTGAGCCCAAACTTTGCTAACCGTTCAGCCTAAGCTTGCACTTGTTCCTCGAGACCATTTTTATTCTCGCACGCGAGCATCACATCGTCATAGAGAGGCGTCCAAGGAGCCGCCTTTTGGAGGTCCCGTGAAATGGCGTTCATGACGACAATGAAGAGCAGCGGGGAAAGCGCTGAGCCTTGGTGCACCCCAACTGTGATGGGGAACCCCATCGAAATGCCTGTTGGACTCCGCTCGACTCTTCGGACTGAAGTACAGGATGCTTACCCACTCAATCAGCTTCCGGGAACGCCGTGCTGTCGTAAGGCATACTATATAACTTCACGTGGGACACGGCCGAATGCCTTCTCCAGATCAAGGAAGGCTAGGTGGACATGCTTCTTCTCACGATGTTTCTCCAGCAAGAGGCGAGCTGCATGTATGGCGTCGATGGTGCTTCAGCCAGTCACGAAACCACAGTGGTCGGTAGAGAGCTGGACGATATCACGAAGACGCTTATCAACAATTCGTTCAAAAATTTTCATGCTGTGCGAGAGCAAGCGAATTGGACGATAATTTGAGCAGTCTGCAGAACTGAATTTTTTCTTACAGATCGGTACCGTTGTGCTCTCTTGCCATACTGTCCTCATCATTACAGACTGTCGGGCGTGTCAGCCAGTAGGAGTGCGCACACTGTTGAAGCCGTTCTCAGCCTGTTTGTTGAAATGCGTATGCAACAAAAGTTGGTAGAAAATGAGTAATAGGAAGGATATAATGCAGTGATGTCACTTGCCCGCTTCAACAATTGATGCAGAACGACTTCGGTACCGCGCCAAACGCAGCCGCACTGACACGCCCCGACAGTCCGTAATGATGATTGTACTTCGGGCATTTTCTTCTCTGCAACGACCTGAATGAAGAACATTGTCAACCATTCGGCAGCATGCCAGCAGTGTGACTTCCATACTTCGACCGCCACGTCGTCAGGGCCCTTGCCTTGCCTGACTTCATCTTCTTGAGAGCCGCCTCCGTTTCCTTCACGCTTTCTAAACGGGACTGTGTGTTGGTAAGGTGCAGGGGATAGCCGGGTGTTTATATTCCACTGTGGAAAATTCTCCGAAATGGTCGCGCCATCGCCTCAGCACCTTTGCTCGTTCCATCAAAAGGCGGCCCTTCTTGTCATTGATGCCGATGAACTTTTCTACATCTTCGGTCTGGTGGTGACAAGCCTTGGCGAGTCGGCAGATGTGCCGCTCGCCATCCCGCGTTTCCAGCTTCTTGCTGATATCTTCAAAGTGAGCGGCTTTTGTAGCAGCCACAGCCTTCTTTGCCGTACTTCTCGCTTCCTGATACTTCCGCCAGTTGTCAGCTGACTTGTCTTTGAGGAACAAGTAATAGCGCTTCTTCTTCTCGTGAACTTTTACCCTTACGTCATCTGTCCACAACCATGCCTGCTTTTCTATTCTACGCCTTCCAGGTTTCGCTGTGCCAAGTTCGGAGCGAGTGGCCTGAGCTATCGCTTTGGCTGCATTCTTCCATGTTTCATCGACAGCTGTGACAGTTGGTAATCCAATGCGAGAGATTACAGCTGCCTCCTTCTCCTTCAAAAGCCACCACTTGATTCTTTCAGGTCCAAATCGCTCTATCTGTTTCGACCTGGGCGGCGTTATCTTCAGCGTACAGAAAAGCGGGCGGTGTTGCGAGGCTACTCAAACACACGGCACGGTCTTCGCGCCTGTGGCAAGTCTTTGATCGCGGAGCCTGACAAGAACAAAGTCAATTTGTGTCCTGGTGTTCCCGTTGTAAAAGGTAATCAGGAGGGAGTCGCGTTTACGGAACTTTGTGTTCACTATGACCAGGTTATGGGCCTCTGCATAGTCTAGATTTCTTTCACCATCTGCGTTATGTGACCCATAACGAAACCACCATGACAACTGCAACCGTCTTTCGTTGCGCCTACGTGCCCGTTAAGGTCACCAGCGACAATTGCGACGTCTTCTGACGGCACCTCAGCTGTCTTCTCCTCAAGCAAAGTCCAGAACTCGTCCTTTGATTGTTTAGTGCATCCCGTCTGCGGAGTATATGTCGAAAAGAAGTGGTACAGTCGCTGCTTGACAGCTAGAACAATCTTCATCAAACGATCGTCGAAACGTTCCACGCTAGCTATCGAGTCACGGAAACTTTGAGAGACGGTGATGGCCACTCCGTTAGTAGTCCTTGGCTTGCCTGAAAGAACGGCTTTGAAGCCGCGACCGATATCTCTCGACTTGCAACTGGACCATCTTGTTTCCTGCACTGCACAGAGATCGATTCGTCTGAGCTCTAGTGCCTCTGCCAGTTCACATAAACGTCCGGTCAAGGTTCCCACGTTCAACGTTGCAATACGGACTTTACACGCTACACTGCCTGAAATCTGGACTAGCACGGTCGCCCCCGATGTCGTCCTTGCACCGAGGACCCTCGCATACTTTCCGCACTCGCCGGGCCATACGAATGCGCGCCGGCTCCCGCGGACGCCGTAGCATTATCGCGATATACATATGGCATGAACAAACAATGGGTAACGTGGGCGTTCGTAGGCCGGCCCGTCACGGAGGCCTGTCACCTGCGTTCGTGTGTCTGCGTTTAGCAACTCGAAAAGCGAGCAGTTCCCAGTGGCACCGCGGGAGGAGCAGGCGTCACCACCGCTCGTATTCATTCATTTGCTAAGCAAATTACGAAGCGAAGGGATTGGTTGAAACGGGCGTGATGCTGCATGGGTATATGAGTATACAGCCTTACCTTCGGTAGCGGTTATTGGCAAGATGCCAATGGAAAACTCGTCCGAAATCGATTTTCAAGTCACTGAGAACGGAGGCTTTTTCTCCGCAGGATTTTGACCTTTTCACTCCGTTCTTTCGCCATTTACCCACTATACAGCGCCCTACTAGCATTTTAGGCTGAGTAGGAAACCATCGTGCCAACTGCCTCTAAGGAAAAGCCGCCCCAAATGTCGTGCGCGACGGAGCGGCAATTTACGATTCTGCTGACCGTCTCCTCCGGGAACAGACAGAAACTGCTCGAAGTGCTCTGAAGAAACTCACCTCTATAATGTCTTTTATGAGCGAGTATTTGAAGAACCAGTCCATCTGAATGGCGCCTTTCTCGATAACGTCCTGGAAAGATTCCTCTGAGAATATGCTATTATTATGAGAACTTCACGACTAACTTTGAGCGATCCTCGGGAACAATATTTCCACACAGACAACATTTCCGGGGCATCCAGGCATAATCCAACAAATCGACAAAGAGTGTCACGATCATCGCTCCTCATCTAAACAAGGAGCGCGAATCGATTTTTAGCGTGAGCATGAGCTGCCTTGTAGAGAGGTCGAAGGTTTTCACGTGTTTACTATGAACGTTTCGCACATACCTTAGCACCCAGGTGGGATTTTCTGCGTATGATCTTACTGCCATAATTTTGGCCTTAGACGAAGATGTAGGAGAGCTGCTCAGTAAGAGAGAAGGGATGTTACTCTAGAAAATTGCCATAAATGCTCTGTCATCGCGGGCGCGCTCCTTTTTCTTCTGATTATGAGCGCACCATGAATACCTCAATAGGTGACGTATTTCAGTCTAGCTTGGTGATGCTCTATACCAAATGTGATCCAATTCACAGCCCTGAACTGAGACACGCTTGGTGTAGAGCGTCATCAAGTAGCTGACAATGTGACTCCTCAACGAGGTTATGAAGAAAGATTGGCCGTAGCACAGAATGATCCCACAAATAGCATTTGCATATACAGAAAACCACGTCTCTGGAGCTTTGAAAAGGCAGGTTGAATACGCGACACACCCCACAGCACTGATCAACCCTTTCGTACCACCCTTCCCGAGCCTTCTATCTCTTTCTCTTACCTTTCTGAGTATAGCACAATCCGATTTCTTCATCTGAACTCTCAGCTGATGCTTTCTGGCAACAACCGGGTCGTTTCCGATTGTGAAATAAGAGTGATGTCCAGTGTCCTGGAAAGATTGGCGCAGCTTTATTGACACGCGAATCAAAGACACCCAACTCCTACCCCTCCCGCTTACGAACGGTGGATTTCCCCACAGTAAAGTGGTATACTTTGATTTTCCGCAATGGAGTGGTACATTCAATTGAAAATTACTCTTCGCAACATTTCCCCTCGATTCATTGTAATATAATAAGTAGTAGTAGGTCGCAACCCACTGGGTAACTCTCTCAACAGTAGGACCTATGCTGTCTTCAGACCGAACAATAATTCTTTGTGCAAGGAAAACTGCAAATCGTCGAGGATGGGTGTCAATCTGTGTGGAGACTTCTCAACATAGTCCACATGCATGGCGTATACCACCTTAGGTAACATGCAGCACTACATCTATAGCTCGCTCTAGTAGCACAACTGGAACAAGTTTTCATCCAAAAAAACCTTTTTTGAATCGATTGTAAGCTTTGTACTCGTCGACATTGTGCTCTGCAGTGATCGGCTACTGGCAGCTCCACTCTGAAAGCATTCTGTGTAGACGAAAATTTCTTAAATTCTATTTTTGTGAATGTTATTGCATTATAATAGCAAGCTCTGAAAAGTTGATACCTACTTTCGAACTGGCTTTCGTTAAAGAGAGAAATGGTATCTGCCACAACTTGTTGAGTCGTTCCTCTTCGAGGCGTCGGGCTCTGTTAAATATTGATAATAATGAGCTATGTTATTTAAGCTCCTTTTAAGGTACTTTCAGAGGGCATGCCGAAGAGCTCAATCTCTCACGTTGAATAAGAACTCTGGCCCTATTCAACTATTACTATCCCAGTCTTCCGAAGTCGGGCCAATTTTTTATCGGCGTTTCTCTAACCAGGGAGGTCGTTCAGGACGTGGCGCGCTTTTTGAAAACGGTTTTTTGCATTGTGTAGGGGCACGTTCATGGACTACCAAACTGACGTTCATTTTTCCTAAATGGCTCTTTGAATACCAAAAAAGGAGTGAAGAAGAATTGAATAGAAACCGATTGGTTTCGAGCCCCTCTGGGCTCCAAATCATATGCAACTTTGACCAGTTGCTGAGTAGAGGGTCCTTATAAAGGCACTATAGGAGTCGAGGAGATAGTCGCAAATGGGGTTTTACTTGCGCACGTGATTGAGAGTGAACGGCTCTGAGCGGCTCGTCGGAGGTTTCTTCAACGATCGCAGCGTGTTCTGCTGCAACGATCGGATGGCCTAGTGGATAGCGTGAAGGATTACCGATCGGTCAGTGAGGGTGGGTGTTGATGGTTTGACTCCTCTAGGTGTGCCGGTTTTTGCATTTTTTTAGTTTCGCTATCCTCTCTTCCATAAATGTCTGTGCATGAGTATAACATGGATATTTGCCATTCATGGGCAAATTCTTAACGGTAGAACCCCGTGAGTCGGTGATATACTTCTATTACAATTTTCTCCTACAGTTAAGAAAGGCTACCACTGAAAACTGGTTTCTATGTGTGAGTGAGTGCTATGATCATTAACATGGTACTTAATTTTAGCTGCGGTGCCATTTGTCTCCGATTTGGATCAACATCAATCTCCCACTGTATTCATTGTGCACACCCATAAAAGGAACGTTTAGCACTACTCTGCCGTCAAATCGCGTCAGCGCCAGAAATAAGTGTCAGAATCGTGATCAGGACCATCGATAACCCCTATAGACGAAGATTCGCTAAAAAAATTTTCGACCTTTAATCCTCCACGCTATCCACTAGGCCATCCGGTCGTTGTAGCTGAACAGGCTCCGATCGTTGAAGAAACCATTCCGAGCCGCTCAGAGCCGTTCACTCTCAATCACGTGCGCAAGTAAAACCCCATTTGCGACTATTATCCTCCTCGACTCCTATAGTGCCTTTATAAGGACCCTCTACTCAGCAACTGGTCAAAGTTGCATATGATTTGGAGCCCAGAGGGGCTCAAAACCAATCGGTTTCTATTCAATTCTTCTTCACTCCTTTTTTGGAATTCAAAGAGCCATTTAGGAAAAATGAACGTCAGTTTGGTAGTCCATGAACGTGCCCCTACACAATGCAAAAAACCGTTTTCAGAAAGCGCTCCACGTCCTGAACGACCTCTCTGGTAAGAGTCCAGATTCAGCTGAAAGTCCACTTCTGGGGGTGTTTGACCTCTTGAACACGAATACCACATCCGCGTAGTCTTAAGATGCTTGGCGCCGGCAGGCACCGGCGCCAAAAACCCAAATCATCAAGTTCCTGAAAACTTGTCCCCAGGGGTAATTTGACCACCTGAACACGGATATCACATTCGCTCGGCGTGAAAGTGCCTGACGCCCGCGCCACAGGCCGAAGCCAAGATAAGATAAGATACCCTAGATCGCCAAATCCGCTGAAAACTCGTCTACGAGTGTCATTTGACATACTAATTACAAAAATGACATTCATTCTTGGCCTGCAGCTAGTGAAGGACAGTACTATCATCTGCGCTCCGCTAAGCCTGAGCCTAGCCTGAAGGGGAGAAGGCGAGAGAACCGTAAATTGCCGCTTTGTCGCGCGCGGCAATGGGTGCGACGTTTATTTAATTTGCACTACCCTTTCGATTGGAGCATCGGATTTCATGCAGACAAGGACATGGTGGACCTTCATGTCTAAAGCTGTTTTAGTTCGATAATTGCTATTTAATGCCGCATGAGTGCTCCAAGTTATCACAAGGATGCTGAGATATTGGGTAAAAGGGGACCCGGGAAGGGAGTCGAACCAGTATCTCGCGTTTACCGGGCGGTTGCACCATCCACTACTCCACCGGGGCCACTCCCAACAGCTCGGTAAGCGAGAGATGCGGATTCGAGTCCCGTACCGCGCCCGACTCTTGCCAATATCTCAGCATTTCTGTGCACACTTAGGTCTATTTTTTTAGTTATACAACACTGTCCATTTCCACCAATACCGCCAAAAATCGTCGTTACTAGCAGGTGCGTGCTACACACATGGCCTGAAGAACCACTCCTCCCATGGTCAGCCTTAGCAGAGCACTGAAGGCGCTGATGTCGAAAAATAAATGCATTCCCGTGATCGGAGTTCCAAACACCCTTACTATGCATGTTTCTATCGATTTTGAGTAAAAGGAATGTGGCGCTAAATTGACGCCTGATGGCGCCAGGGCTGAAAACAAATGCCATATTCGTGATCAAGAAACGAAATAACTCCGATGCGCAAGTCCACACCGATTTTGGTGAGAAAAGGGGTGGCGCCAGCGTCAAAAACGAATGTTATACTCGTGACCAGGACATCCAGTTACCGTTATGGGCGAAGTTTCGCCAAAAAATTTTGAGTTTTTGGAGTAGTAATAGCTGAATGGTGCCAAAAATCATTGCATCCCTTTGAACTTGCCATTCATGTTGGTAGGGAGAAGCGTCCTATTATAACCTCGTCATAATCCACTATGACAGAAACTTCGCTGGGCAAGGCGTTCAGACTTTGCCTTGACGCGGGGCGAGGTGATGTCCTATCCTATAGACGCGACAGGAGACGGGAATCGATCACCGCCGCGTTAGTGGCCATTGCCGATCGATATTGCGTATTGTAGGCTGTACAACTCGTCCTCGCCTCCGTTGGCAGTGCGACAACATGGACGACCGATTGCGCCTGAATCTCCTACTTAACCATTTTCGTCCGTTTTTGAGCGATTTTTTGCCCTCTATCGCCCGTCATCCATTTATCAATGCTGGGTAGCTATTTATAAATGGTTATATCAAGAGTACTTTCAAGTTCTGACATAACTTACTTCAAAGCTTTCAGCAGACAACGAATGGTACTTCGGTTGGTAACTCCGGTTGAAGTTTTAGTAGAAATAATTTTGTGGAACAAACAATCGCTGTCTACCCTTCACTGCTTCACCCACGCTGGCCAAAAAGTTTTTTGTTGTGAGTATATTTGACTACAGTTCTATGCCCAGTGTAGTTTGACCTCGAGAATACGAACATCACATCAGCTTGGTGGGCAAATGGATTGAATAAGCGTGCTGAAGGGTCAAACACTGCAGTCCCAGCAGACTCACCCCTATGCAATACTTTTTTGGGGATCTTCACAACCGGTGAAGCTATCTAGTATTGGATGGTGGGTTGCATTTCTCGCCTGGCTTTTTATCCTTTACCTCGATTGATGACCCTTTTACATTTATCTATTTGCGAGTTGGAACTGGCATTCTGACCTTGTTAAAAATGACATATCTCATTAATTACTGCCAGAGGGGTGTAGTGAAGGTTCTACTTCGTCATTACTCATTTGCTATCGTCAGTGACAATGATATAATGAACAGATAGAACTTGAATTCGAGTAATATAGGGACATTCAAAACTACTACAGAATGAGAGAATCTTAGGACGCTTAAAGAAGCAGCTTTAAGCACCCTTGATGTGAATCGGAGGTATACGTTAGTTTCCTCCTACGCATGTACCTCCACAATATGTTTTATAAGTGGTCTCCACTACCTGGAATGCCCCATTTCTAAGAGAATACAAATTGCAGGGCCTCCTATGGGAATCACAGACCAAAAAAGCCAAATGGAAAGAAAACCAGATACTTGAGTTTGCTTATGCTCGTAGAAAAAAGCGACCCAGCATGGAAGGTCATTGTAAGTATAGCGCGGGTGTGCGTCAGGAAGAATTGTTAATTATTACTGATGATAAATTTCCTGACAAACTATTACCTGAGTAAAGTGAACTGGACTTACCGTACGAAGGAGCACTCATTAAAAACTGAAAACTGTTTCGAAGGAGGGTAGATCTTAGAGTTCAAAGTACTCTCGATACAACCACTTCTGAGTAGCTCCCAGCATTAAGAAAGGGATGTCGGGCGAAAAAGGGCGAAAAATCGCTCAAAAACAGAAGAAAGTGGTTAAGTAGGAGATTCAGACACAGTCGGTCGTCTATGTTGGCGCACTGCCAGATTAGGTCGGTAAGTAGTCGATCAAAAAATAAATAAACGTGGACGAGTTGTCCTGTACACGATACGCATCGCATCAGCGGACTGAGGATGTCAATTACTGCCGATGCGCCCCAATGGCAACCCAGCCGCGCCGAACGACATGCACTTCTGTATAGTCTCTCAACACATAAACAGGCGACACCGACCGCTGCGGCTGCGCTCGCGTCTGTACCACTGGAGTGGTGTTGCAATTACAGTCCCACTTTTTCACCCACCGTGTCTCACAAATTATTAGACATTGTGTACTGCCTACGACTTTGAGGAATAGGGAGAACAAGCGATACGGAATAACAACAATACCGCTCCTAATTTCTGGTCAATCGACGGTTTGCGACAGGTTTTTCCGTCGCAAACCGTCGTTTTGCCATAACTTCTGTAGAAGTAGTCCAAATGATCTGCAATTCAGATCATTCGATAGCCCTGAACAAGACGAACCCAACAATATATGAAACCTCCACTTTCCTNGCTAATTTTGTGACTATTTCTCCAAAGATATTGAGGTTTGAGTCTC